ATCTATGTCCTTTTATCGGAAGAGGCTTCTCCTCAAGTCTTATTCTATTGGGTCGAATGATCTTGAACGCATAAATTCCGTAACAGACCTTGGAGTGTTATTCAACCACAACTTAAACTTCTCTGATCACATTGACACTATTGTTAGTTAAGCTAAAGGGGTTTTTGCCTTTGTTAAACGTTTGTCTAAGGAATTTGAGGACTCCTACACCACGAAACACTTATATATTTCCTCCAATTCTTGAATACTGCTCGTGTGTTTGGTCTCCTCAATATACCAATCATCAAGACCTTATCGAATCGGTACAGAAACAGTTCCTTTTGTTTGCTTTATGTGGTTTAAACTGGGAAACACATCGTCACCTACCATCTTACGTGGATAGACTGCGTCTACTGAACCTGCCCTCCCTCAAGGATCATCCAACCTGCCACGGTGTCATGTTCCTTCATAAATTAATAACTGGACTTGTAAATTCAAGCTACCTACTGGGTCAAATACGGTTCTCCATCCCTGTAAGGTCTACTCGTCACTTTCGACCTATTGCCCTCGATATTTGTAAGACGAATTTTGAAGTACATGATCCATTTCGCGTTTTATGTTCGCAATATAACGAACTCTATTTTTTGATATATTCTGAATGCTCTGTTAATTTAATTGTAACAAACATCCTAACTCACCTGTCCTTGCCCCCTCCCACTTGATGTGTGTCGGGTACTATGTTTATGTTGGCAGATATTTGTTAACTTAAATAAATAAATAATTGTAGTGAAAAAATATCTTAAAATATCTTACATAGTTGTTTGTATTTGCGCTCCGGGCACTGTCCAACAAAATGTCCAAACGCCCCGCAGGCATAGTAGAAACCTGGCTCCCTTTTCGGCTTAAGGCACTCCTTGGCGAAGTGCCCTTTAAAATTGCAATTGGCGCATCGCAAAACTCCTGATAAGCCCTTCGAAGAAACGCCTCCTCGCTTCCACTCCGGCAAACGGACTCCTGAGAAAGGCCTCTACATAAGCTCAGGGCAACATTGTATGCGAGTCTGATCACGCAATCCGGCTGCTGGAATTCCCTCGATGATGTTTCGAGAGACTCCTCCACATCAATATTGAAATATGTAGCAAAATTTTCTTCTGGAGGCCAGTGACGATTTTGGAATACGTTTCTTAGTTTCCCGTTGGACATTTTTGCTCCAAGTGCCATGATCAACTGCTCCCAAAGGCAACCGGTCGGGTCCAGAATGCGTGCAGCGTTGAGCACTTCCCTTTATTTTGGCAATAAGTAGCATATGCATGTACCCGGTGTCCAGATTGTAGAGCTGCGCGATGTTTTTAAGCTGTCTGACCCAGTTACGAGCACACCGGCTGCCGCCACATTCCATAGTCACTTCTTTTGCCAACTCGAGCGATGCTACTGGAAATTTGAATAGACTGCTTACATTTGCTGGCGTTGATTTTTATTGTAAGCGGTCTCTTTTGCAACACTGGGCTTGCCAATACCAATGTTATCGTTGGCAGTGATAACTTCGGCGCTGTTAACTTTAACAGCGTTGCTGTGATCGCCACTGCTAACATCGCTGATTCAAATCATCGTCAGGCATTGTGATTAGGGACCAAGATACAATAACATAAGGCAGTCTTGTCGGCAAATTCTGGTACCTCTACAATCATAACAATGAGTGCGAGTGAAATGGGCACTGTTTAGTAAGTGCGAGCAGAGCGACAATAGAATGTGTGGATTAGATGGCTCCTGCTTTTTTATTGTCTTTCATAATAAAAGAGGTTTAATTATTTTCATAACTTAATTTTTAATAGTTTTGAATTTGAAATTAGGCGTCCTTTTTGTTTTTTTTTTCGGACGTTGAGCACCATGATCAGCGCAAACAAGCGGCCCTAACGACACCAAGCAGTGCTTGTTACGCGCGGAGCCCAATCTTTTCAATCTTTTGTTAAGATTCTAAATTCTAAAATATATTCTAATCTTAAAATAAAACTTTAATATGTCAAATAGTCATGTTGCACGGGTTAATTATTTAAAAATTTCGTTCGCAGACAACCTTTCTCTTCAAAAAACGAACACGCACTGACCAAAACCCGAACGTTTAGACAGCCGACAAGACTACCTTATGTTATTGTATTATGATTGTATCATGTGCAACATGACTCTTTGACATATAAAAGTTTTATTTTAAGATTATATGCAATATATTTTAGAATTAAGAATCTTAACATAAGACTGAACATTCAAAAACGACGCATAATTTCAAATTCAAAACAATTAATAATTAAATTATGAACAACAAGATAGGAAGCAAACTTCGGGGAGCAATGAACATATTTTAAGAGGACTCTTTGTATCCTGCCACTCAGATAATTTCAGATACATCTAAAGAGATCAACTGGAAATCCTAACAGGCTTAAATCGTACATGATAAGGATGTTCTTTTAAAGTGGTATACCAGGCGTCATTTGGAGAATCGAAGCAAGTCCGTAAGGAAAGTCAACATAATAATAACATCTGAAGCTGAGACCAATTAACTCAGGAAGTTGGAAGACTCGTCAACAAGGCGACCATTTTCGACAATCGTTTCGAGATTATTTGGTAAAACACATGAGAGATCCTGGCAAGGAGTCGCATCTCTTGATTAGTTACCACTTAGACAATATTGGCAATAGCTGTTTTTTCTGCAGGCTGGCAAAAATCTGCACACATATTAGTTCGATTTGCGGTTATTTGCGTAGGTCACTTGCAGTCAGTTACCAGTATCATTTATAGAGCTGTTGTGCTCATTTTAAATTTTGTGCAAAATGCAACAGGCTAGAATGATTAGCGACAGCTGTTTAGATTAGCTGTTATTGGATGGTGGATGTGCTCTGTGGGAATCGGAGTTTTAGATTTGTCAAAAATCACAACCGTTTCAAACGGATGAATTCTTTTGGAAGGGGATATAAGGGGTAAGCTGTTCGGCTGATAACATGATGTGACTTTCACACTCATCGGAAATCACACAGCCCAAAACAAAATTTTAAGAGTTGGCACTAAGCGGGTAAAATTTGTATTTTACGAATTTTTAGGTGAAGCCTAGTACTCAGATCGACAAACGAGTACGCTATCGTAAAAGCTTTAATCTTTCCTGTGTGACCAAAATTTCGGGAGTTCATCAAAATTAAACGTGCTACGGTCGTGCAATCAGCTGGGTTTGTTGACAAGCATTTAAAATTCAAATATCGTATTTGCGGGAAATAGCCTTTAAAATATATTATCAACTACCTTGGCAAGACAAGTCTGTACAAAAAAAATTCAAAAACAAAACAATTTAAATTTAACAGTTTTTTTGTTTATTTACTGATAATTATTTGCTAATTTAACACAATAAAAGTGCAGCTATGAACTCCTTTTGACCTAAGAAACATTTTGCTCTGACAAGAGGCACCCCAGATAGTATTAATGATATTATGTCCTCACATATAAACTCCTGCAATGGACTTTTGCGCGTGAGAAGCGTACGCCAAAAATTTAATTTTGTAATCTTTTCGCTGGGGTTCACCCAAAGTTAATTTTCGTAGACTGGCAACGCTATGGAATTTTCTGGTATTTTTTTAGTCGATCTAAGGACTGAGGTGAAAATAAACGTTGACGAAAAGTGAACGCCAGCTGTTTGCCTCCCCCTCTCTCTCATGACTGGAGTACAGTTTTCGTCGATCTGAGTACTAGGCTTGAATATTTTTAGAAATCCGAATTATAACAAGAGAGAACGCTATAGTCGGGTGCCCCGACTATCAGATACCCGTTACTCAGGTAAAGGGAGTGCGAGGGAGATGGAGATAGAAACTTTGATCACGCATAACTTTTTAACGAATGGTCCGATTTGAAAATTTTTTTTATTGATAAACACAATAAAACTGCATTTTTACTTTTCCGAAATATTTAAATTTTTAAAATCGTATATAAGCGATTGTGGGCGTTAAAGGGGGCGTGGCACCTTTTTGAAACAAACTTGCGCTGCGTAGGAACTCCTAGAATCTGCATGCCAATCTTCTAGCTTTTATAGTTTCCGAGATCTCAGCGTTCATACGGACGGACAGACGGACAGACAGACAGACGGACAGACGGACATGGCTATATCGACTCGGCTAGTGACCCTGATCAAGAATATATATACTTTATAGGGTCGGAAACGCTTCCTTCTAGCTGTTACATACTTTTGCACGAATTCAATATACCCTTTTACTCTACGAGTAACGGGTATAAAAATGCAATATGATCCCATTAAAAATTATATTTTGCTGCTTGAAAATGAACTAAAAATATGAAATATAAAATTGTATTGTATAAATAAAAAAAAAACTTAAGCTTAAAACTGTGGGTCTAATGGGTGCTGCTAGTGTATATCGAAGGGCTAACTATCGATAAAAATAAACTAAATAAATAGAACATTAGCAAAGGCAAAAAAATTAACTATTTTACTTTAAGTGGATTGAGATGTTATTTGATAAGAAATTTTGTATCTTATGTGGTGCTCGATTCTGTAAATTTGTTTGTGCACGCAAACGGTTGGACAACATAAATGTTACGGCGCTCTTCCAGTTTTTAATTTTAAATGACGTATTGTATCTATGGGGCTATCTGATTACTGTTCCATCATTCAATTTGGTCAGGTCAGTTATAGTTTTCATCAGTATGAGATTTCAATCAATAGGTTCTCTATGTTTGCTTTGAAAAGAAACGGATGAAATTGGCTTGCTCGGGAAAATCGCCGGTTAAATTACGAATCGAAACGCTTGGTTGAGAATGGTAATTCAAGACTTACTAACAGGGTCCTAAAAGGCACGGCAAAACAATCAACCCATCCCAGGCTGCTAATCTGGGAATAGGCTATTATTGGATTACCAATTTACCTATCATTAAAAAGCTATAATATATATGTAAACATAGCCGTGAAATAGGAAATATTTACATTTTTGGTTTCATTTCCATCGTTTCTCAAATGTCGATGATTTCTTAACCTGTCTTGACTTATTCGTGCGTTGTTACGCAGTACTAATTCTATAATAGACAGCGGTTAAGTTAACCTTATTAAATACAAATTTGTCACCCTAACCACGCACGCTGCCTATTACTAAGACGTGAGTATCATTACGCATGGTATTAAATATGCATAAAAAATATGGAATTAAAAAATGTATGAATAATACTGGACACAGCTTTGTTATGTTTACTAATACAAGCATTATTTGTGTAGTACCAGTTTATCTGTATTCTTGTGTAGCGAAGAAATTTACCTATGGAATTATACACATATATTGTTTTTTTATAGACCAAAAGCCGGTGTATTTTTTAATGAAGTTTACCTAAATTCGTCTGCGAGTATAGTTGTGGTCATGTTAACATTGGTGCGTGCATTCAATAATGGTCAGAATATTGAGAAATAATAGAAAAATCGTTCTCACAGTTTTATGAATACATACATTTAAAAATACAAATGCATATACACCTATATAATGTATATACATATGCTAGCTTTTTTTTGTAAATGAGTTCGCAGAATACATGTACATTTAAATCTATGTATTTATATGTATGTAAATGTAAAACCAATATGTACATCAGTATACTTGCGTATTATATAAATTAGTGCAAAACTCTAAGGACCATACCCGGCGTACGCTTTCGACTTTCCATCGGACACATTACCAAAGCTTTTAAGAGGCCGCCTGTTTTTGATGAACGACCTTTCCATTTTGGGTACGTTCAATACTTTGTAATTGTTTAAATATGTACATATGTACAAACATACGGTTTGTCAAAAAGCTTAAGAACATCTTATTCTGAAACTTCATATAAAATGTTTGTACCTTTTTTTTTTGTTGTGGTGGGGGGGGGGGCGTTGGATGGTCAAAGCCAGTTGGGGTGAGCGTTTTCCACAACGGAAGCAGAAGATTTATTTTGTTGATTTTTTATGATTCAATTCACAAATTCAAAATTCACATTCATTTAGTTTTTTATCGTTTTTCTAATCTGAAATGTCTTTGAATATTCGATGTCACCATGTAAAAACTGAAATCAGTGGAATATATATCATAGTTGATCAGCTTAGCTTTGCAGAATGTAGAAACACTGGTTAAGAAAAGTGCGCGCATTGTCGTCTACACACACACGCTGAGATCGATTTCTGATTTGGTCAAACTTCTCTTTCGTCCTTTCCGAAGTCAGTGTTTTTTTTCCTTTATTACAATAATAACAAAATTAAAACAAGAAAACAGCTTCGGCAAACCGAAGTTTATATACTCTCGAGTAATCCAATAGCTTCAACAAAAACGGAGCTATGTCAATTTTGCACTGCATTTTGCCATCGTTTCTATGGCAGCTACATACAGTGGATCGCAGCTTATTTCGTGCAGTTACCTAAAAAAAGTTCAAGTCGTTATTACTGCTAAACTAAGAAAGATAACAGAAAAATTTAAATGCAGTATTTTAAAAGGGAATATTAACTTGTTTATTAAATTAAAACGATTTCCTTAATCGTAAAAACAAAATACTTATTAAATAAAAACAAAATGTGCAGGCTTTTTTCATGCCGCAGCTTATTTCGTGCAGTTCATTTTTCTTAACTTATTATTTGTAATTTAAAAGCTAATATTTGGTATGTCCTCCATTCTGGCTCAGGACAGCTTTGAGACGATTTCCCAAGGAAGAAATTAACTTTTTAGTGGTTTCCACTGGAATTTTTGGCCATTCTTCCATAAGAACACTTTACATGTCGTTTTTTTTCGAAATCTTCCTCAATTCAATTTTTCCAAATATCTATCGGCACCCAAAAACCATCATTTTTATCGAACCATAATTTTTTAAGTTATGTAATTTTTATTTATAACGTCACTGCATATTTAAAAATCGGATCTCGCTTTTAGCTTGTAGTGTTAAAAGTGCAGTTCGGCAGATGGCCCAACATAAAACCATAAAATATAATCAGGACTAACACAAAAAACCATTTAGTTAAAATAGAAAATATATTTTAAATAATTCGTCAATGTGAACATACTTTACATTACATGGTCAAAAACAGCTATGTAATTCCAATTTTATAAGCTACCTAATTTTATATGTCGCCAAACATCTGATTTTCGCATTTTTAGCCATACCACGGAACCTGTTGGTGATAGAACTTAAGGGGCCCCCCCATTCTCGATTTCAAATTTGGACGATTTTTAATGGGCTAGAAAATGTACATATATTATTTTTATACCCGTTACTCGTAGAGTAAAAGGGTATATTGTATTCGTGCAAAAGTATGTAGTAACAGGTAGAAGGAAGCGTTTCCGACCCTATAAAGTATATATATTCTTGTTCAGGATCACTAGCCGAGTCGATCTAGCCATGTCCGTCTGTCCGTCTGTCTGTCCGTATGAACGCTGAGATCTCGGAAACTATAAAAGCTAGAAGATTGGCATTTTGCATGTAGATTTTAGAAGTTCCTACGCAGCGCAAGTTTGTTTCAAAAACGCCCTCAATCGCTTACATACGATTTTAAAAATTTAAATATTTCGGAAAAGTAAAAATGCAGTTTTATTGTGTTTATCAATACCTATCGAAATGTAGAAGAAATTTTTCAAATCGGACCATTCGTTAAAAAGTTATGCGTGATCAAAGTTTCTATCTCCATCTCCCTCGCACTCCCTTTACCTGAGTAACGGGTATCTGATAGTCGGGGCACCCGACTATAGCGTTCTCTCTTGTTTTTGATATCAAGTGAGCCGTACAATCGCATAAAAGTTGAATATTTCCTAATTCTGTTTTACTACCAACTTGACGTTATTTATTTTTGATAAAAAAATAATTTGTTTTTTTCTTTTTCTACACAGTGACAGTACCCTTGCAGAGGGTATTATAATTTTAGTCAAAAGTTTGCAAGCAGTGGAGGAGACATTTTCGACCCTATAAAGTAAATATATTCTTGATCAGCATCACCAGGAGAGTCGATCTAGCCAAGTCCGTCTGTCTGTCCGTTTCTACGCAAACTAGTCTCTCAGTTTTAATGTTATGTGCTTGAAATTTTTCCAAAAGTTCTCTTTCTATTGCAGATAGTATATATGTCGGAACCAGCCGAATCGGGTACCCATAGGATCAATCGGAATAAAACATCAAAAAATTATAATTTTGTTATACCCTTGCAGAGGGTATTATAATTTTGGTCAGAAGTGTGCAATGCAGTAAAGGAGACATCTACGTCCCTATAAAGTATATATATTCTTGATCAGGACCCTTCTTTCCTTTGCACGCAGTATATAAGTCGGAACGGCCGGGATCGGCAGACTATATCCTATAGCTGCCATACAACTGATTGATCGGAAATGCCATAACTTTGGTGTTTGTAAAGTTAGGAAGTAGGGATTGTCTCTGGGTTTTATTTTTGGCCAATCAATCAATCTGACCTACCAAATTTCATAAGGATCGGCCGACTATATCCTATAGCTGTCATATAACTAAACGATTGGAAATGCCATAACTTTGGTGTTTTTAAATATAGGAAGTTGGGATTTTTTATGAGTACTAAGAATGCATCATATGAATAATTTTGGAGAAAATAATTTACAGAATATTCTGCAAGGGTATTTCAACTTCGGCTCCGTCCGAAGTTAGCTTTCCTTTCTTGTTGTTAATTTTTTTGTTGTTCTTCGGGATTTGGAAATATTTAAAATGGAATGACGGTTTTAATTAAATTAAAATCTGGCAACAATATCATATAGCTGCCATAGAAACGATGGCAAAAAGAGGCGCAAAATCGACATATTTCATTGTATTTAGTAATAAAGGTATATATATCAAAATGTAGTCGATTTGTAATAACTGCAAGGGTATTTAAACTTTGGCTTGCCGAAGTTTGCTTCTTTCTGGTTTCTAAATAGTTTCTTTTTTTTTTATATAACTTATATTTTATTTATACGTTATACGTTATGGCTATAAAACGTAGGGAGTAGAAAGAGTAACAATCATAACATGGAAAACATAACAGCAGTGATAGAAATCAATATGTTTTTGACTTTAAAATTAACAGGAGTTTTTGGTGACGATCACGATTTAATTTTATTTACTGGGGAAGGACTCTCGTTCTTTGCCGCCCTCCTATCCATGGGTCTGCGTGATGCCTTCTTTTAGCCTTCTTCTGATCATCGGAGTTGCTAATTAAGCAGCTAGGTGGTTCGAGTGCGCTCGAATCCGTGCATTGTAGCGACTAGAGTGACAATTGATTTGTTCCCTCAGGGTGGGGATGTGATGGTCTCTTGTTATATCATAATTTCTCACAGTGCTCGGTTTTGCAGTCTTTGTACTCGCATGATGTTTGGTCGGACGCCGTACCCCATATTTGCATGCAATATGTCATGGAAGGGACTACTATTGCCTTGTAGATCAGAATTATATTTCTGAGGCTCAGATGACTCGCTGCTCTAAGCATCCAATTAAGCTTTCTAAGCTTACTACGGCATGTTGCTGCAATTTTGTCGGTTTGTTGCCTCCATGTGAGCCGCTTGTCTAGGATCAATCCAAGATACTGGGCCTGGGGGGATTGAGGGATTAGCGTGTCTTGGAATTTAACCCTAGGGAGGGTTTGATGCCTTAAGGAGAAGTTGCAATGTTGCGATTTATTTCCGTTTATGCTTATATTCCACCTGTTCGTCCACTCGCTGTACAGGTCCAAGAAGCTCTGGACGCCTCGATTCGACACAGAGAGTTTGAGTGAGGCTGAGTCGTCAGCATACGTTGCCAGGAGGGTACCCGGGTCTCTGGGATTTGGCAAGTCAGCACAGGACCAAAAACACTACCTTGTGGTAAGCCAGCTGGTATGCATCGGATAGATGATCTTTCGCCTCTCACTTCAACCATAAAGCTTCTATCCAGCAGATATGTTTTAAGAAGGAGATACTGCGCAGTTGGCAAGAGAGTCTTCAGCTTAAATAGCAAAACATCGTGGCATACTCTATCGAAAGCTTCCTTTACGTCCAAGAAGATAGCAGAGCTGTACTGTCTGTTCTCAAAGGCGAGGGGGCTGCCTTCCAGATGATAAATCCAACGTAGCAGATCAGTAAAGTAGTCATTTTTTTGTTTTGTGCAACAACTTTTTGAGATC